CCGAGAAGGTTCCCACCAACTGAGAACAACAGCCACAACTACTAACGCTAACAACAGAACAAGATAAAAGAACTACGCATATAACAAAAGATAGCTCACAACCTCACCGCGCGTCCTAAGAATCCTATACTTAGGTACTTAAACACTTAAAGGCTTCACTAAGCAACTTAAAGTCTCAACTTACAAGCACTAACCTAAGCTCAACTTACGTTCTTAAAGTCCAACTCTTAACATCCTAGGCCCAAACCTAGGCTCTGATACCAACTGTAACACCCCCGATTTTACAATATTTTCAAAACTTAAAAACAAGAGATAAACGACCTAATCATCTATTAACATAAAGCGGAAGCAAGTCTATATGGGTGCATTATGCCACATCTTAACTGCTAAAGATGCACAGGCAGGAAAACGAATCCATACATTCAACATAGTTTAAAGAGTTAAGGCACACATGCGGCTCAAAACACAACGTCTAGACAAAGGATAAAACTATCTAAGCTCCAGTCTAGCGCTCTCAGTCTCTACTCAAAACCTGTAGAACAAGGAAAACATAACATGGGGATGACACCCGGTCAGCGAACATTGCTGGTAATCCATCAATACGCGTTAAATAGCATATATAGATAAGTATAAGTCAAAACCATTTTCGAAACGGAATACAGTATATATCATTTCAAAAGCCATAGAGAGAAGTCAACTTCAAAGACTCATTCACACTCTCAAGGAAAAGGAAATCAACATCCTTACGACAACAACAAGACCAGAATACCAACTGTAACCAATACAACTCGAGATGTATTCTACTGATCGCAAAGTATAATACATCAAGACATGCTCATTAGCAAAGAATACACATTCACACATTGGCAACTACATGCCACAGTGACAGCTACATGTCACAAGTTTCACAGTTACAACCTTATGCCCTGTTCTAATCTTATGGCTACCCCCGGCCTTATTTCAGTTCCAACCATTACCTCCGAGTGCTACCCTGTACTTCTGGGTCCAACCTTATACCGCCAGGGACCGTCGTTCCCACTCCAACAATCTCCAACAAAACCACCTACATATGAGCACACGAGGGTACTATTCATTTCATTCACACAACCACTTACATATGAGCTTACGCTCAGGTCACACCACCAATTTCATTCATAGTCACGCAAGTCATCATCATTACCAAGAAGACTAAGGTTCCACAATAACCTTAATCAAGTATCAATCAAAGGGTACAACAATTACATATGTTCATATCATAGGAATCAATCAATGGATCACAACAAAGATATGAAACCATACTTAACAACAAAGGATCACAATCCGACACCAAACGATGGTCAACACAAGTTGCCAATCTCAATAGGAAAGAACAAACCGCACACACTTGCATTTCAACATCAAATTAGCATGCTTATCAAACGGGTAAACCAAAAGTTGTTCCATATTACATACAAGACTCACAGTAGTCCAACGAATCACAAAGTTGGACCACAAGCACGATTCAAGACACCAAATCCTACATGGATTCCTATCATACCGTTCTAGACATACGAAACATCAAGAAGACTCACAAATAGCCCAATAAAACAAAATCGGGAGGTCAAAACATCAATATCGAGTCAAAAGAATCACGGGGAACAAATCCCCGCCAACCAACATACCTGTTCCCCGCGGGTGGGGCCACGGGTGGACAACCACCCGTGGTTCCGCCCGCGGGTACCAAGCCCACAAGCCTTGTTCCCCGCGGGTGGGGCGGCGGGTGATGCCTTGCCCGCCGTTCCGCCCGCGGGTACACCCTGTACTCCAAAATAATCCCTTCGGGGATTTTCAACAACAAGTCCAAATTCAAGTCCAAAACACCTAAAATCTCACACAATACAACAATATGACTTGAACCCAAGAAATAGCCAAGCAATGACATACAAGAACCCTAAGAACAAGCTCTAGACATGCATTACCACAAGACAATGCATCAAATCTCACATTTCATCACAAGAATCACAAGTAGAAGCCAAGAAATCATCGTATAAGTAAGAAAATAGGTTTTGTAAAGCATGAGTTACCTTTGTAGCTTAAAAATCCAAAAACAACGCCAACCTTAGGCTAGGCTCAAATCATAAGCCAATCTATCAAAAGGAGAACCTGCGAATCAAACCGATCTTTCACTTTAACAAAAGTACTAATTATAAATAATTATGCTCATAAGGGGATTTAAACTCTCATTTTTCTCTAAATTACCCACAAGTCTAACCATCTAAGCTAAACATCCTATTGTTAACTTCATTCCAACATTAAAACACTAATAGTTAACTAATAACCAAACTTAAGTTAAACTAGTAATTAAAACTAATAAACAAGGTTTAACTATTTAAGCTATAATGAGATTCAAACCCTAGCCAACCACATTCATAACCCCCCTTCTAAGCACTAAGCTAGGTAGCTTCTTATTACCCTAAACAACACTCAACCTAGTTAAGCTAAACTAAGCATCAACAACAAGAGAAAACTAGAAGCTCACCACTCTTCTTCTTCGTCTTCATGCAACTGATCCCGCGGGTAGAGCCACAGGAACATCACCACCCGCACCACCACCCGCGGCCTACTCTGCTTCAGCGGAGGTGTTGCTGCATCTCTACACGCCAAGCTTACCAAGCCGGAAAGAAGGAGAACGCTGATGAGCTACCGTCCGTCGAACTTGCCGTCGGAGTTGCTGCCTTGCCGGTGTGTTCTGCTTGTCGCCGCTATTTTGTTTTACCCACCGGAACAGAGAACGCTAGAGGAACGGGAAAGAGGGGCTGCCAACCAGACCATCGTTGCTCACCGCCGCCATCAACACCGCAGCTCGTCGAGAAACACCGCAACCCGCGCTGCTTCGCATGGTCGAGACGTCGCCGAGGGAGGAGGAACTTTGTGCATTGTCCAAGCTGTTGCAAGGAAGCTGCTCGGCCGTTACTGCCGTTCAACGAGGGCCACCGTCACCATCAAGCTTGACGAAAGATAGAGGAGAGGCGAAAGAGGCTGCTTTGTTATTCTAGACAAAGCCGAGAGGGAGAGGAAAAACTAAGGGAGGGTTTGGCTGCTGATCTCATGAAGGATAGACACAATATTATTTATTTTATAAATAATATAGGTAGATAGGGTTACTACAAAGGGATTGGGCCATAGTAGGAAGGTTGGACTCACCACATGACCATAATTAGAAGATGGACTAGCATTTAGGCTTAGATGGTTGGGCTCAAGAGTAGTTAGGAGGAATAAATACTCCTTGAGCTCAAAGAATAATCACTAGGCTTTTAGGAATTAAAAACCATTTTGGGCTTAAGGCATTTGGGTACAAAATACTGGTTCACCATACTAAATAGACCCGAGCCCATTTCAAAATAAATAACTATATAAATATTTTTAATAAAAATATTTAATATCGGGACTATAATTTATTTTAGGAAAATACGGGGTGTCACAGTGGTGCTTTTGGGTGTCTCCTTGATGTTTCGTATGTCTAGAACGATGTCCTAAGTATCTATGTTAGGATTTGGTGTCTTGAATCGTGCTAATAGTCAACCTTTGTAATTCGTTGGATTTATGTGAGTCTTTGAGGTTCGTTGGAACAATTTTGGTTTATCCGTTTGATGAGCATGCTAGATATGATGTCGTTGGAACCATTTTGGTTTAGTGTGTTGTTTGTCCTTCCTATTGAGGATTGGCAACTTGTGTTGCCAATCATGTTGTTATTAGATTGAAGTTTATTGTTGTTATTGAGTATCGTTTCATGTCTTTCGTTGAAACATCATGATTGATTTCTATGATGTGAACTTGTACATCTTGTGTACTATTGTTGATACTTGATTGGGCTATTAATGAGCCTCAATCCTCTTGATAATGACTATGTGTGACTATGAATGAGATTGGTGGTATTGTGACTTGAGCTTTGCTCATGAGACCGGTGGTATGTGACTATGATATTTAATGGTACCCTCGTGTATTGAGAGTTCGGCGGTATAATGATTGGCGGTGCATTTGGCGGGGGACGACGGTCCCAAGCGGAATAAGGTTGGACTTAGAAGTACAAGGTGGCACTAGGAGGTAACGGTTGGAATTGAAATAAGGCCGGGGGTAGCCATAAGGTTGGAACAGGGCATTGTGTGATTTATTGTATTCATTGCTTATGAGCATGTCTATCGGGAACTCTACCTTGATTATGGTAGGTTGCGTCTATTGTTGAGTATGTTGCTTATTGTCCTTATTGACTTGTGGATAGTTGTTGATGGTTGGTCTTTGTTGAGAGTGTTCTGTTATGTCCCTTGATGTTCCCTCTCTTGGTTTTAAATTGATATATACTGTATTCCTCTGTCTCAAATGGTTTTATGATATCTATATATTATGTACTTAACGCGTATTGGTGGATAACCAACATCTTTCGCTGACGGGTGTTATCCCTATGTTTTTACAGGTTTTAAGTAGCTTTTGTAGAGCGTGCTAGTGGACCGTTAGGTAGTGTAGCTCTTTATGTTTTCCCTTGTTTAGACTGATGGCCTGTGTGCCTTATTTCCTATGACTTTATTATTGAGATTTTGGCTTAGACTTAGCCTGTGTACCTATGTTGAGATAGGTGTGGCATAACACCTCCGTATTTAGACTTTTCTTCCGCTTTATCTTAATAGATGATTAGCTTGTTTTTCCTTTAATTTAAGCTTTTAAATTTTGGTAAAATCGGAGGTGTTACAGTTGGTATCAGAGCGTAGGTTTGAGCCTAGGATATTAAGAGTTGAACTTTAAGAAGTTAAGTTGGAATTGAGACTCTAAGTTGACCTCTAAGTGACTAAGTGTTTAAGACTTAAGACTCTTATGAAGTTCGGTGAGATGTGAGTTTCCTTTATCGCTTGTTGTGTTTGCTTTGCTTGTTTTTGTTTAGCCTTGGCTCTCTCGCTTTAAGCATCGGGTAAGGGTGCAAGTCTCTTCGTTTCCTTGCCGTAACCGTTTTGTTTCTGTAAAACCTTGTGATGGCTCCACCTCGCTATCGTGCTCGGACTCTAGATACGCCCACAAATGAACAGCTAGCTCAGAAACTCCATCACCTCACCCAGACTATGCAGATGCTGAGTAATGCCCTCCTGCACAACAACAACCCTCCGCCACCACCAGATGGAAACCGCAATGTTTGCCGATAAGTTTCAAACCACCGACCTCCCGTCTTCGCCAAGGAAGAAGACCCCGTCCTCCTAGAAGAGTGGATTCATTCCTTCGATAAAATCTTCGCAGTGGTAGGATGCCATGAAGACCGTCGCGTGGAGCTAGCGACGTTTTACTTCAGTCATGAGGCGGACCTATGGTGGGTCCATGAGGGGGACCTATGGTGGGTCCATGAGGGTCCGGCATGTCTTGAGGAACCCGGGTTTGACTGGTCAGTGTTGAAAGGCAAGCTCCGGGAAAGGTTCTATCCATCTCATGTAAGGGCGGCTATGTATGAGGAGTTCCTCCACTTGAAGCAAGGGACCATGTCCGTAGTGGAGTATCACAAGTATTTTCTTGAGTTAGCCCGATTTGCACGCGTGTTCATTCCCACCGAGGCTGCTAAGGTGGAAAAGTTTGTAGTAGGGCTTAACTGTGAGGCGGAGAAAGCCCTAACAGTGAGTAAACCAAGATTGCTCAGTGAAGCCTATGACCAGGCAGCTTATCTCTCCACAGTACAACAAGATCAACAGTTGAGAGTGAGACAAAATAAGAAAAGAAGCGAAGACAGTGCCAGTGCAGTGCTTAAGAAACCAAGGGTGACAGATGTTCCTAGCACCACCAGTGTAGTAGAGCGTTGGGTTAGGGGTGGTGTTTCCACTCGGGTTAGCCCCAGCAAGGTTGCAGCGCCACCACCGCAGATACGAAGATTGGTTGGGAGTATGGTAGGTCGAGGTTCGAAGGAGGAACCATCTCAAGGAAAGATGCTCGCGATGAGTGAAGCTCGGGTTGGGGACAACGATGTCATGACCGGAACCTTCTTGGTACAGTCAATACCGGCATTGGTTCTATTCGATTCGGGGGCATCCAACTCGTTTGTATCTTCGGAGTTGACCGGAACCTTCTTGGTACAGTCAATACCGGCATTGGTTCTATTCGATTCGGGGGCATCCAACTCGTTTGTATCTTCGGAGTTGGTCAAGAAGCTGGGATTGACCGATTGTGTAGAGGTGAATATGAGCCTCAATCCTCTTGATAATGACTATGTGTGACTATGAATGAGATTGGTGGTATTGTGACTTGAGCTTTGCTCATGAGATCGGTGGTATGTGACTATGATATTTAATGGTACCCTCGTGTACTAAGAGTTCGGCAGTATAATGATTGGTGGTGCGTTTGGCGGGGGAGGACGATCCCAGGCGGAATAAGGTTGGTCTCAGAAGTACAGGGTGGCACTAGGAGGTAACGGTTGGAATTGAAATAAGGCCGGGGGTAGCCGTAAGGTTAGAATAGGGCATAAGGTTGGAACTTGATATTTGTCATTGTGTGATTTATTGTATTCATTGCTTACGAGCATGTCTATCAGGAACTCTACCTTGATTATGGTAGGTTGCGTCTATTGTTGAGTATGTAGCTTGTTGTCCTTATTGACTTGTAAATTGTTGTTGATGGTTGGTCTTTGTTGAGAGTGTTATGTTGAGTCTCTTGATGTTCCCTCTCTTGGTTTTAAATTGATATATGCTGTATTCCTCTGTGTCAAATGGTTTTATGATATCTATATTTATGTACTTAACGCGTATTGGTGGGTTACCAGCATCTTTCACTGACGGATGTTATCCCTACGTTTTTACAGGTTTTGTGTAGCTTTTGGAGAGCGCGCTAGTGAACCGTTAGATAGTGTAGCTCTTTATGTTTTCCCTTGTTTAGACTGATGGCCTGTGTGCCTTATTTCCTATGACTTTGTTATTGAGATTTTGGTTTAGACTTAGCCTGTGCACCTATGTTGAGATAGGTGTGGCATAGCACCTCCGTATATAGACTTTGTTTCCGTTTTATCTTAATGGATGATTAGCTTGTTTTTCCTTTAATTTAAGCTTTTAAATTTTGGTAAAAGCGGGGCTGCTACACGATGTCCCTTCTGACTACATAGCCACACTCGAATCAGAGGCCCTTCAGATTCATCTCCTCTCCCATGTCAGAGAAGCTTAGAGCAAGCCTCCCTAACCCGCTCAGCTACGGCAATAAGAACATCAGCGCCTGCGATTGTGTCGAATACATTCTCCTATCTACCCGTCACCCAAAACTCATTTTCCAAAAGTTATCTTCCATCATGGGCTTATCGCCGGAAATTTTTTTGTAATTTTCATGAATTCAATCAACAAGAGTTTTCTGGCCGCCCTGCCCGGAGCGACTCTGTTTTCCAGCTGAATAACTACCCGCCCTGTCCAGAGCTCGGGAAAAACCCGTTGGGTTCAGAGAGGACACCAACCCTCAGATCATCTCCGTTCTGAGATCCAACAACACCTCCGGCCTTCAAATCACGTTGAATGACGGCAGCTGTATGTCTCCCCCCCCCCCCCCTCCCCCCCGACCAACACTCCTTCTTCATTTACGTCGGAGATTCTATTCAGGACCGTCGTTTTCTGTTGCCAGTGAAAATCGAGGGCGGGGTGTTGTTGGCAAGGAAACAGATTGGAGTTCCCAGCAGGTGCACCAAGGACTACGGGTGTTGTTAAAACCTAAATCAAGAAGAACACTAGCTTTGAGAATTCCATTTGTTGTTTGAGGATTGGGTTTGAGTTCTTTGGATTTGAAGAAGAAAAAAGAAATGGGTACTGGGTTTGGTTAGAAAGACAGGAAAGAGAGAGGATAATCCAGGAAGAAAAGAAGGAGAAAGGAAAAAGAAAAATAAAAAGTCACATGAAATTACCTTATTTACCATTAGTTAACGGTGCAATATAACGGTTAATCACAGGTCCGTTAGCGGAGGGGCAATATATGTATCATTTTAAAAATTGAGGGGCAACATTTACACCACTAATAATTCAGTGGTGACATTGATAATTGACATATTACAGAGGGACATAAATTACAAATTTCCCTGACATTTAATAGTAAGTCATATATTGGTTTTTGGATTTCATTGTCTTAATATAACATGTTAAAGGGTGTAATTGTATTTTAAAAAGTTTAGAGGACTAATTGACTTTTCAGATAAAGTTTAGGGACTAATTTGACACCGCCTTTTTCCAATTCAATATTGTTACAAGTGTTAGAGGGCATGCAATCTAGATTTCTTCCTCTTGAGATGAGAGAATGAATCTTCATGATTGAAGGACTTTGACTAGTTAGTTTTACTTTTGATTGGAAAGAGTCTTAAATTTTACTGTAAAACATTGAACAGCTTATCACATGCTATTTCTATGTTAGAATAAAGAATTTTGAAAGATCAAGTTAGAAAGTTACACAGTTATAGTGCTTAAAAAACATGGAAACCTCGACTAGAGACCCACACTAACTATTGCATCATAGAGGGAATTTAGCAGCTCATCAACCAAAGTGAATTTGCACTGTCAACTGTCAAGTATATTCACAAAAACCTAATTTTTGTACTAATTTGCTAAGTAACTATGCATCACTATGATTTTAATTACCTACGACTTGTATGCAATTGTAATACCATGGAACATGATTCATCTTGCATTGTGAGCCCTTATCCAAAAAATATATATATTTGTCGTTGATATTTTATGTACCTGCAATTAACTGTTTATGTGACTGTAAATAAATTAAAGACACATAACATGTTAACTACAAGCATACAAAATGGTAACTATGACACATAAACTATTAACTGTAAGTACTGAATATGTTAACTGCAAACACATAATATATTGTTAACATGTGTTTGCAGTTAGCATATTTTGTACCTGCAGTTAACAGTTTATGTGTCTTAGTTGACATGTTATATGCCTTCAAAATTTACAGGTACATAAACGGTTAACTGCAAATACAGAATATGTCTGTAAACACATAATTTGGAGCTTATTTCGAACCAGTGTCTATAATGCAAGGTAGATCTTGATCCATGGTATAATTTGCCACTTCCTCCATGTCGTCAAATTAAAGCCTATCCGTAGGACATTCAGGCATAGGAAGTGCTTGAATTGGCCAAGATTTAATGATTTATATATATGCCCTGTTTGGTAAAATAGTTAGCCTATAGGCTAATTTTGAGTTATTTGACCACTATTAGTTGTTTGATTTAGTTTAAAAATCAATATAAGTGTTTGGTAATTAGCTTTTTGTACTCCAAAATGTTAAAATTAAAAAAGCTACTCAAAATAACCTTTTCAATTAGCTTTTTGAGAAACAAAATTATACAAAACAGCTAACAGCTATCAGCTATCAGCTAAAGTTACCAAACACCTTTCTATAATCAGCTAAAATTATCAACTAGCTATACCCTCTAATTAATCAAATCAGCTAACAGCTAACAGTCTTTTACCAATAAGGGTCTAGTTTGTGTTTCTTGTGTTCGTTATTCCGAATAATAATAATAATAATAATAATAATAATAATAATAATAATAATAATAATAATAATAATAAAAGGGTTGTAATTAATGACTTATACAGTTTTGACTTTTGAATGGTAAAGTTATCATAATCATGTTTGGATTTTTACCTACAAGAAATGCTGTGCTGTACAATTAATATTTCAAAGAGCGAAAGCACATATCTGAATGTATCCAAAGTACATGCAAAACAGTAATGATGTCATTGCCATAGCAGATTTTAATGATGTCTCAGAAAAATTGGAGGACCCGTGAACAGATATCATGGGATTATAGGGGCCGAAAACACAATAATTTGTTGACCCATATATATATCTATATAAATTATTTTCTGGGCTAGTATTCATGATTATGGCCCATTCCATCCACTATCTGTTCAGCAAACAGCAAAGACTATATATGCTTTTCATGGGGAAGCAATAATATCATCTATGACCATGTAAATACGACCTACGTACTTATGTTGCAATAGTTACTAATTGCGTGGACTGTAATTTACACAGTTGTATGGGCCGCGATTAAAAAATGATATCATTTCACTTATTTCTTTTTCACGCAACAAATTGTAACATATATTTTTATAACTCATAATATACATTATTCTAAAATATAATGTACATTATTCTAACTCATAAAGTACATTATATTACTCCATAAGTTTCATTATTCTAACACATAATAAAATACATTATTCTAACAGATAATGTACATTATTTTAACACATAAAATACATTATTCTAACTCATAATGGACATTATTCTAACTTATAAAATTCAACCATGTCATTTTGCACCATGGTCCGTCCACACAGCTGTGTAGACCACGGTACGGTCCACACAATAATTTGCCCTTATGTTGCTTTTATTTTTACAGTTTTTGTAAGAATTTCTTCCATAAGTTTTTATTCATTTAATTCATTTTTATTTCTATAAGTAGACCCTATTACCATATTATAATATTTACAATTCAGTTCTATTTTTTCTTTTTTTCTTTTATCAACACTATTTTTTCTATTTATTTTATCAACGCTATTTTTTCTATATCCTTAACATTTCAGTGCTACATACACACCCTAACATTTTTCGTCAGGTCAAAGATTTTAACTCAATATATTGACGTGGTTTTGACACCCCAAATTGACTAAGGAAAGTGAAATATTTTGACATTTGTTAATTAGGATGTTAATTACATTCAAACTCCACAAGTAATTAATGGTGGTGGGATGATGAGGACGGGAAATTTTTTGATTCCCCGTTAAAGTGAGAGCAGTGCTACATAAGGAAGCTAAGCAGGGATGCGGGTGAGTTTTCAAATTCTCATTGGAATGGAAGTAGGGATGTTAATGGAGCTAGCTTTATCGGACTGTCTGGCTTAACAGTTCGAGTTCATTTTTTTTTTTCTTTTGTATGTTCAAAAGCTTTAGCCCTAACCCTAAAACTTTGGGTTATCGAATTTATTGAGTGGACTCAACTAAAATTTTTGACATCTTTAAATTAAATTTCTAAACTTTCAATTTTAATAAATTGATGCATTTTTACAAATAAATATAAACTTATACATCATTCAATCAATCTATACGTCCATTTCCAAATTTCAACTAAAAATAATTAATATACTTACATTATAATATAACTAGTAAGTTTCCCGTGCGATGCACGGTCATTAAATATAGCCTCTTAATATTTTAAGATTATCGTATAATCTTCTTACTCTATGTAATAGCAAAATGTTTTTTTAATAATTCAACATTTGAATCAGAAACACTTAATCACAACTCAAATATGTTATACCTCCGGATTCATATGTAAGTCTGACAACCTAGTAGTTGCACTCGTGCGATGCTCAGACATATGATACAATAGTAAGATTAACGGTACTGATAAAAAAAAAAACTATAATAGTATATGAATTAATTATTGAAAAACGAAGAACATAGTAATTGTATTACACATTATTGAAAATTTCTTTGTATACGACATTTTTAGTCGTACTTACAGATATATAATTATATATAAGATAAGATATAATAATAATTGAATAAGATTGTGAATTATATATATATATATATATATATATATATATATATATATATATATATATATATATAGGCCTACTATTATATATATTCAGGCCTACTATTTAGATTATATAATTTGTTAGGCCCAAAAATTGAAAATTGATATCAAACAATATTTCAGGCCCAATGTAGTGTACTATTCATGACCCAAAACCCGACACAATAATCCAAATATATAAACCTATCTAACCTTAGAACTTTCCAAAGCAACCCGACCCTTCATATTCTCTCTCGACAGTGGCGATATGCGGATCTCTGATCTACTCTGTCCAACACTTGCTTCTACTCTACTTTCTTTCACTAAAATTTTCATTTTGGATTTATGATAGCTTATATCACGATTTTGTATCATTAATGGCAATAATAATCACGATACAGAGTCTCGATAAAAAAATCAGATCTGGATTTCGACCTGGTCAGACATAGATTTGGGATTTACAATTACAATTCATTGAGCAATGAATTCACGGATCTACAACATGCAAGTTCAGAACATACCTCTTGAATACATATATATTTCAGTGCAGGCAACCAGACTCTACATATATATTTCAG